TAATTAAATAAAATAATACCCTACATTTGATCACAGTTAGCTATGTGTATTAGACATGGGGCCATACCTGTTCGTCCCTGATGAGTGATTCGAGTTCAGTTCTACTTTCCGGAATGCGCTCCAAATCGGCGCAATCCACCAAGAACACTATGGCATCTACAGCAGGGAAGTAGTCTTTCCAGACACGACGCGCTAAAATAGGCTACAAGTAAAACGCTTGATTTTTTGGAGTCGCAGCACAGTTACACATATTTAGCCATGAGCACTATCTGAATGATCCAGTTTTGTGGAGCAGGTTATTTTAGTTCAATAACCAGTTTTTCTTACTTTGTAATTACACTTCTGTTCAGAAGCAAAAAAGTGATCTGCCTTCATGATATAACAGCACAACCCGGTAATTATGAAGCGAAATATTTCACTTCAGGAGATAAAGCAATGAAACTACATGCATGGGCTAAAAAACAAACAACTAACAGGCTAAAAAATGGTGGCGCCTGTTAAACTGGACATAAGAGTGCGCTTGTATTAAAGACATTAAAGATATTTTTTATTAAAGACAGCCCCGGCGCTCAAGTAGTACATGGTCGTCCTTCCTTGTGCAAGTAGTACAGCCCCCAAGCTAGAGACTGTCCCACTCTCGCGACTCCACAGCGAGCGAGGAGCGAGCTACAGCCGCTGAAAGTTCTAGTTCTAACGCCCGCCCAGTTGGACCGCCCACATGCCCTCCGACGGAGAGCCGCTCAGTTGTTCTTTGTTGGGACGGCGGGCATTAATCGGAATTGCATGTCCTTTTTGCTGACCGCGCTCGTGCCCATGAATAATTCTGCTCTCCTTTATTACATTTTATTCATTAGGAGCACATACAGTCAACTGCAACCCATCTCGTATTCTTTTCTTTGCATTAGATGATATCCACTACTGGGGATGAAATAAAGGGATCTGTGAGCCAGGGGTAGCACAGAGGCTGAAAATGCTGGTGTAGCTTGAAGATACGTTCCGCGTTTATTTGATGTTATAACGTTTCCGTTGGACTTAGTAGTCCTGGCCGCAAGCATAGAGGATGTATTTCTTTAGCCACCCGAAAACACCTTAGGGATGCACGTCCCCTTGCGATGAAGCCACCAAACCGCTACTGGTCATCGCAACGCCTAACTTTCATTTCTAGGCTTTCTGATGGTGTGCTACCAACTCTGCATCGAATGGCGACAGTCAAGTGATAAAAAAAGTTAATATCCAGCAGACAAAAAACTCGTTCGATCACACGCCCTTTCTTCGTTTTGTGCACGTGCAAGCGCAGGTCAACAAGGGATTGTACCAAACCGCTCCGAGCGTGTTTGCCCTACTTTTTTTTACATCACTGTTGCGTTATTTCCCATCATAAGGCGCAGTTCAGCGACGGAGAGGCTTTTCGCACTTCCATTGCTTCACTAGTTTCGGTTTACAAGCCTCACTCTGGTGGCTAGAGTGCGAAATGACCTCCCCGTCGCGAAATCCCCCCCCCCCATATTACTAGAACTATGTGAGCCGCAACACGGCATTTCCAAATACCAGGCGTGCCTTCAAACACTAGATCAATACCTCCACTTTTCTAGCCGCTGATAGTGCTCAAAACGCTAACGCAAAGTATGAGCACAATCTTAAGGAAAGGGTGAAATCAGGATCATGATATAACTCGTTATAAACGCAGCATCGCATTTACGACAGCACACGAGAAAACTATTCTAATGAAGCCAGTGTGAATTTGACATGGCCTAATTACGTTGAGTGTTTTACATATACCAAACCTCATAAGGAAACGTTTTGTAAAAGTGAAAAAGAAACAGACTTTGTCTGCTGCTCCAAGAATTATCAAATTAATGCACTGACTCACCCTGTGCGTGGCCGCCAAGGTCGAAAGTGGTGAATCGAATGCCTCCCAAAGTCAATTCCTCAGACGCTGAAATTAGCTTGCTTCATATATCAAGAGCATTGAACATGGGATATTTTATAAAGCTGGAAAGAATGTCCTACACACTTTCAAATTGCTCTAGAAAAAAAATCAGAAAAGCTTTCCAGAGCAAGTTGTTCAAAGTCTTTGTGGACGGGTATATTATGACTCTGCGACTTATCTCATATTATGAGTTTCTGCAGGGCGACTCCGTCGTAGTTGAGGGAGCTAACACTTGCGCTAACACTTGAGACATGGAACAAAGATTTCACTGTGTTATTGGAGGACACTTTAAAGCGATGCAGCTGAATACTAGCACGGCAATGACGGCTGCAATATACCCTGATCAACTTCAAAACGAGGAAGACTTCACGCTCGATTTCAGTCAGCAATACTGGTTTCTTTCTTCAGCTCGGTAATGCAAAGACCGTGTGGCGATGAGGCTACTCTAAAAGATTACGATCTCGATCAGGGAATGCGACGATACCTAGCTTATTCATCCAACATAGCATCTTCTAACTACCATCTCCTTTGATCCCTACTTAATCCTTTGAAGCAAAAGTTTCGAAAATCAACGTCTACTTGGAAATGAACCACCTCTTCTTTTCTTTGCATCTGCCGAAGTTCTAGAAGAGTCGAATCGAGAAGCTGTCCGAAAGGTATGCAGAAGTCCCAGTTATCAATGGTGATCACCTTGTAGACTGGAGGACCCAAGGTTACTATCCGTTTTGATGCGCCTCGAGGATTTAGCACGCGGTCTCTGTCGGGTTCCTGGCCTAGCATGAGATTTACATCACCTGACCATGAACCCGTGCAACGCAATTTCAGTGTGCCACTTCATTACAAGGGCGTCTGTCAGAATATTCGTGAAACCAAGTGTTCAAGTATTCCACCATGTCAATTATCATAATAGACATATACATCTGACAAACACTAGCGGATGAGAAGTTAACAAAAATACTCACTTGGGTGCAAAGTAGGCACATGTTGTGCCATTCTGTCGTCTTTCAACATGTGCAGGAGAGTGGTTTTCCCAGCATTGTCCAGACCAAGGAACACCAGCTTTCCATTCTTCTTACTAAGTCCTAAAACAACAAAACCAATAAATAAGTGCAATGCACAACAGGACTACCTCCTTTGCATTCGGAAAATTATTATTTCGCCCACGAGCAAGAACTTAGGCCAGCGAAGATCAAAGGCGCCATCTACAACACTATAATTTCTTTCCGTGACATTTAGAATCATCTACAAATTTGCATGTGATAACTGTTAGAGATGCCGTGTTACTCAGACGCCTGGGTCTGGCACTCTAAGGAAACCACCACAGACCGCCCACGCTGAAAAAAGATGAAAGGATGTATTGCGCTCTGAAAAGTATTGCACAGTGTGGGAACCCTCCGTCATCATTGTTTTCAAATGATAAGCTATCGATTCGCATGTCAAAATTCAATTGCCGACGTTTGCACATTTGCAGGGAATTATCAGCACCTCAATAGCAAAAAACTGGAGGAATCTGAAATTCCTTTCATTGCAGACCGCCGAACAGCGCGCACCTCTGGAGAATTCATCATTTTTCATCAGATCAGAAATATTCCACCTCTCTCCAACTGTTTATGAAGAGGACCTTCCGCAATCGAGAGCGTGTTTTGGCAACATTAGAACATGAGAGACAAGTCAAATTAATCGAATAAAGCACTACACACAGGTAAAATCGTAACACATCCTGTATGTCACGCGGTCCGGAACGTGTTAAAGACTATACATACTCTTTGAGAAAGCACGCCTTAAATTGAGGTCAGCAAGGTACACGAACCACCATTGGAAATGGGGACCAACATAGCTTAGAGGG